TCCCCCGCCCTGCGTCGCGTCGCGCGTCGGCGCCCGATCACCGGCTTAAAGGCACCGGGCGATACCGCGGTGAAAGGGCCGGGGCGAGCCGCGGACGCTTCTCTCAGGCGTGTCGCAGGATGCCTCGGTTTGAGTTTTCGCGAACTCAGTTTAAGGGTGGGAGGGGTTGGGCGGGGCGATGACTGCAGCGTTGCCTCCTGGGATTTGTAGTTTCGTTTCGGGAGTTGTGTTGCCCCTCCTCCCGCCGCCCCCTGGGGACTGGGGAAGGATCTTTAAAGCTCCTAGGGAAGGTTCAGGTAGCTAAAGATGGACGAGAAAGAATCTTCCTACTTTTGAGATAAATTTCCCAGGATGAGATAAAATGGCCCTTATCTTCTAGAACTTTCCTAGACCATTAGATGAAGACATTTCAAAGTGATAAATTAGTAGATAGATAAGAAATTAGATGCTTATATCTTGCGCTGACTCCACAGGGGAACTACAGCAACGTAACGAATTATGGGAAATTATTCACCAAGGAAGCATCAGATTGTTAAGTATGTTGTACAGTAATGGGAAACTTGGAAATCATGGTTTCCACCCCTTTTATTGTTTTATTTTCCAAATGTAGAGAAGTAGGTAAACCCCATTAATCTTACAGCTGCAACAGAAATACCTAGATTTATAGTACCCCACCACCGTACACACACACACACACACACACGCACGCACGCACGCACACACACACTTTCTGCTCCTTTTCTTAAAAGATTATTTCAGTTATCGCTCAGTATGAATCTCCAAATTTGCTATATAATTTTGTCATGAAATTTATTTAATGCTTCAGCTTTTTGAGCTTAAAGAGACCAAAAGCTAAGAATCAGAAGTGAATTATTAAACAGATCTGAACAGGCTTTCAGAAAGTAAGTTTCCATGTCTCGTCAAAAAATCTCTTCTCTGTAGTAACTCAGGGGCTTCTACTTCTCTTGGCACAGTTGCAACCATCTGTGGCTAAACTTATTATATTTAAAGAGGGCTACTCAATAGAGGAAACACATTATGTGTTGTGTCATTAGAAACTGATAAAATTTTGGTTCTCTGATAATATATTGGGGATGTGACTGCCAAAGTCAAATTTGTAAGAGTCATTCTTTGAGATAAAGAGGATGGTCTCATAAACGAATTAAGCCTAGGCAATCAGACATCCTGATAATCCATCTGGAGGCAAATAGAATATGCTAAAACTTTTTAAAAGGGAGTTTACTTCAAAGAACATGATTAAAAACAAAATTCTAAATCCTGTAGTATTTCTCTTTCAAAACCAGCAACTGTTCCACAGTAGACACTGAATGGAAATTTGTAACAATCATAACCAATGGGGAAAGGGGAGATTCACATGTTAACTGTTTTCTTAGACTTTGTGGGAATAAAATATTATTTGACATAGGCACAATCACAAACCACGACTTTCAAACTGTAGCTTTAGAGTAACGATTAAGCTGAGAAATCCCATTAATTTTTATATATTCTTGCAAGATGGAAAGGAATCCACGAAATAGCAAGAAAAAAGTCAGTGATGATCTCTATGCAGACTGAGAATATTAGAACTTGAAAGGTCAGAGTAATATATGGCCCATTTTCAAAATGTCCATTCTCTTTCTCCTTTCCACCCTTCCCCCAGAAGCAGACTCCATCAGAAAATGAAAATGAGTTGTGTGGTGAGAAAATAAATGGACTGTTAAATGAGATTAGAGAACCAGAGAATGGAGCACATGTTTTGAGTGTTGACTTTCAAGAATGACTTTATCTTTAGGAACTTTTTAATGCCGGGTGTTGGATAGCTATGTTCTTTTTTTATTTTCTATTTAGGGCTAATTTGCTAGTTCTTGGAGGTGAGTTGTTGAAGTTTTGTTTTTGAGACAGGGTCGTATGTAGTTCAGACTAGCATGGAACTGGTAACGTAGCTGTAAATGGCTTTGAATATCTTCTGCTTCCTATGTGGTGCTCGGGATACTACATCCTACTTCATGCCTGCTAAGTAAACACTCTACCCACTTTGATAGGAACAGAAACACTAAAGCAGAGTCAAGTGCTTTCCTTTTGTGTGAATCATTAGAAATCTGAAGTACAATTCAGGTTGTGGAGAATGGGCAGAACTCAAGGGGTATAGAATGTCACGGAAGTTCTTGTTTTCCAGGGGTGGGCTATCAATTTAATAGAGTAAACAGACTGGTGATTCCCCTCCTCTCTGTATCTGTGCCCTATGCTCATTACATAGTCACACTAATGACATTTTACTAAATCTGTATGTAATTGAAAATAGTTTAGCTCTAATTCATTCAGCCTGACACGGTGATCAGGAAACAAGTCAGTTTCTGAAACCCTCTACTCATACATGCCTTCTACCCACCTAAAGTGGTGGCTCTAGAGAGTGAAGTCTTTCCATTCACTTCTTAACTCAATGTCCTACGTAGATTATAATGTAATGGATAATATGATAGTTAGCAACTAAACATGACTGGGAAACCATACCTTGGAAAACAATCCAGTTTACCATGTCCTTGCAATTATCATTCATACTAAGACATTAAAAAACATAATCACACCACTGACCATATATAAAATACCTGAACTAAATCCTTGAAATAATTAAAATTATAGTAGCTTGCAAATTTAGATAGGAAAGTTGAGGGGATGAGGGATGGAGGGCCATGTGAAGAGGAAAGGCAGGTGATGGGGTGGGCAGGTGATAGGGGTGGGCAGGTATACTTGTAAGATACCCTGAAGATAAAGTGCTGGTCTCAAGAGTTCAGCACTCCCAAATGCACAGCCCTTTATAGTAGGACTTCCACATGGCCATCAAGAGATAAGTGGGATTTCTTTCCCCCTTTTACTAGAGCCAAAACCATTTTTTGTTCTTGTTTTGACAGAAATCAACCAACCTCCAACTATAAACCTAGGTAATGCTGCGCAACTCCCAGTTCAGCCTGGCAGCTTTGCCTTCTTTGTATCACGATATCTCAGGGTATTATGATTAAATGGAGACAAATGTAGTTCCCTAAAAGCTAGCTTCACAGCTAAGGCTGCCGAGGTCCCTTAGCCCTGTCACCAAGCTGAGCCCCCTGCTGGTTACAGTTGCATCAATAAGCTGGGTGTAGACAAGAGAACTAAGCAGTGGGCACAGCATCACAAAAAGAATCATGATGATGATGTTAATGGTGTCAATATTAATGAGAATAATATGAAGAAGTGCTGCTCTTAAGTCACATGGTTTTGTGATTTCAGTTAAACTATGTAACTGATAATGCCAGATTTTGCACACTGTGATTATATGTAATTTTTCCAAGTTCCATTTTCACTATGTCCCATATAATTACTGTTTACTGTACTTATAATTCAATTTAATGTAAAACCGAGATTTAGCTATTTGTTCAAATCTTCCGGATCTACTCTTCTACACCATAAAATAGAAAGGTCCAAGTATCTTGAATACTTGCATGTTTATTTCGTAAAAAGTCACAATAAAAAATACTTTGTGTTTATGTTTAAACTCTAACTATAAACAATTCAAAGTTATACTAAAGCATGCCAAACATACCCATACAAAGTTTTCTGAGGGATATTTACACATACATCACAGAAGCTACTGAAGGAGGAGACTATATTCTTGAGATCCTATGTAACACAGCTGTCTAGATAACAACTGTTCAGATGCCTAGAGGAAACTTGAGGTCAGAGATTGAAAAATACTTGTGAGAAATTGCAAACGCAGCATCAATTGTTATATACTGTATACTGATCCCTGTGCTATAAATCAGTTGAAACCAATTGCCATTCATCTTAAACCATAAAGGAGGTGAGATGGCACTATTTAGGGGATATTGGTGTGGGAAGTCCTCTGTATATGTGTTGCTTTTTTTGGTTAATGAGTAAAGCTGCTTCGGCCAGTGGCTTAGGAGAATAGAGCAAGGCAAGAATTCCAAGTAGAAAAACGAGGAAAGAAGGCAGAGTCAGAGAGATGCCCATGGGAGCCCACCAGAACCTTGCTGGTAGACCACAACCTCATGGTGATGCACAAATTATTAGAGATTGGTTAATTTAAGATATATGAGCTAACTAGCAATACGCCTAACTGATTGGCCAAGCAGTGTTTTAATTAATACAGTTTCTCTCTCTCTCTCTCTCTCTCTCTCTCTCTCTCTCTCTCTCTCTGTGTGTGTGTGTGTGTGTGTTTCAGGTCTGGGCAACCAGGAACGAACAAGCTGCCTCCACCTCCAGGATGCCTGGCATTATTAAGGTTCACAATATGTAGAAGGTCAGATATTTTGAAAATACAGTGTAGGTTTTCTTGAATTTCTCTGCAGAATAAAAAGGAGAGAATTTGAACTGGGGAATAGTGTGAATTAGAGATCAAATTAGCAGATAAATATGGAAAGGAGGAAATTTAGTGTCACTTTGGAAAAGAGCAACGTGTTCAGTGTGTCAGCTAATGTTTGTTTGGCGCTTTATAGGTCCTGACGTGTCAGTGGAACCTCACAGCGATTTCTA